CGAAACTGTGGAGAAGACACGTCACCGTGGAGAGCCGTTAACCAATATGCAAATTAGCCTGCAGTACCACTGCTCTACCCATATGAGCAGAAAAAGACATTTTTAGACCAAATATTACAGATTTGAACAAATACGCACAAAAACATCAAAATTAGCACAGAAACAGTACTATATAACATTTTAGAAACATTTTAGACAGTTTGTCAGCTAAAAAAGTTAATTTGAGGGTAAGTTACTCTTTAAGAGCTACTTTCACAAAATGAAATTGTCCGAGAGCTACTTTTTGCAGCCTTTAATCTTAAACTTAAACCATTGGATTAAGCTTGTTTAGCGCAGAAAATGTCTTTAATTCACATGAAACACTAAATTTACAAAAATGTGCTTTTTGTGTTTATCCATTCATATTATAGTGTATTTCACACTAATAACTTAGGGTTTAACTGCAACAGATTTGTGCACAGATAACATCAGGTGACAGGTCTCCGAATTTTTCTCCGCATTGTAGACTCCAGTGAAAAGAAACCCCCTGTAGTGACACATACTGCAGCAGGAGGGGTTTCCCAGGAGCTGGGCACAGTGTGTGTTAAGGGGCTATGAAAAGTGTGTGCGAAAACGAATGTCGAACAACTACATAACCGCACGTCGTTTGCCGATCGACCATACTGAGCCCTAAACCATTTGATTGACAACCAAGGGGAAGTTAAATGGAGTTAAATGAAAGTTTATTTGGCCAGTGATAAATTAACTTTTTCTTCTCCTAATTTTTCATAAGCTCTGAAGAGCTACTTTAAATGAGCCCAAGAGCTACCAGTAGCTCACGAACTACTGGTTGGAGACCCCTGTTTTAGGCTCTATTTAACTATCTGTTTTGCGACTTTTAGCCACTGTCTTGCTGCTTTTGGCTACTATTTTACTACTTTAAGCTACAATTTAGCTGCTTTTAGCCACTGTTTTACTACTTCTTTAGTGTAAACATCAAAGCGAGTTCTCCTTCCTGCCTGTGAAGTTGAACCATGCGACCTGTCAGCTTATTTACCTGAGAGCAGCTGTTTGTTTCTCCTGCTGCAGAATGTCTGGAGGAGGCGTGGAAAGGCGACGCAGGTGTTAAACAGGAAGTGAGCTCAGAGGAAACAGAACACAAGGAGGGAACGACACACGACGCTGGAGAACTTTAAAATAAAATCGACACCAGATGGAGCAGAAGACAACACAACTACCTGCAGATCAACAAACACAATCGCACATTTTAATCCTGGTAGATTTCATTAGGAACAAAGTTACATTGATGTTGCTTTTTGTAACAAGAATCTGCACTAACCTGACACTTTATACCACAGAAGTCAGCTGCCAATATTTTCTGAGTGGTATTTTTACTCCAAACTGCAGTATTTGTACACATTATGTACAGTTTTTATATGTTGAATAAAATACTTTCTACATTATTTGTCTGTTTGTATTTAAGCAGAACTGAATCAGATGTTAGAGTCAGTTTGCTGCTCATTAATCAGACCTGATGAGTCTCAGGTGAGCTGCTCTCCTGGTTCAGACTCAGAAAAGCTCAAACGATGCCTCCTCTTCCTCTTTACTTCCTGTTTCCTTCTTGTTTTCTGTTTGGTTCAGTTTGGAGTTTTCAACACGGACCTGTATTTGAGTCCGCCTCGGACTCCGTTGAAGATGGAGTCCTCCCAGCGGCGGAAGAGGATCAGACCGTGGTCGTGACGTGTCACCAGGACAGCGTGGAGGTGGTGGTGAGAGCCCACCTGCTGGACCCGGGCCTCGTGGGACTGGGGCTGGGTCCTGATGGGGCAGGAGGGGGTCCCTGCACTGCCTGGCTGTCTGCAGATGGACACCTCTCCATCCGGGCTCCTCTGGTGGGCTGTGGGAGCAGAGTGATGGTTGGTGAGGCTCTCTGAGGCAGCTGCTCGGTGCTGCCACCTGCTGGTGTAACCTTCACACTGCTGCTGTGTTGCAGCTTTCAGACGGAGACCTGCTGTACTTCAACCTGCTGCTGCTGCTCCTCTCTGCACCTTCAGGCCAAGGCTCCAAGGTGGAGGCGGCTGCTGTCCCGGTGCTGTGTAAACGTAGAAGGTATGCCATCAAACAAACAGCTGAGCACACTCAGGCTGATTAACAGTTAATTTTGATTTAAATTATGGATCTGTCAAGTTAGGGTTTTTGTTGATGAGATTTATTTTGCATTTACTTTAAATCAGGGGTGTTGAACTCACTTTCAGAGGGAGTTCAATATAAATTCTATAGAGACTATAGAACAACACGCACCAACAGTACATCTGGGGGGTGGGTGTGTGTGTGTCAGGGTCTTTGCTCCCATCCCGTTCCCCGACTGCCATTTGGGGAGGGGGTCCTGAAGAAGGGCGGGCCGCCTGGTGCGGTCCTGGGCTGTGGGTGGGCTCGGGGCTTGGACGGTTGCCAGGGGCGGGGCTGGCTCTCCATCCTCTCTGGTGCTGCTTGGTCTCCTGAGGTGTGGCTCTTGGTTCCTGTGGGTGGCTGCCGGGTTCGGGGAGGTGGTTGGCTGGGGTGGGTGCGCTTGGTCGTTGGCGGTGTGGTGGGGTGGTCGTGGGCGTGGCTTCTCTGCACCGGGGGGGCTGGCCGGGCGTCCTGGTGCGGCCCGGGCCGGGCCTTGTCTATCTGCTCCTCTCCACCTCAGAATGATTGGGTCTACCTCCTGGGTTCGGGTGTGTGCTGCCTCCAGTAGGGGGTGGGTGCATGTCCTGGACCTGGGGGGTATAGAGTGTGTATCGGGGGTATGAGTGGAATGTGGCTTCCTTGTATGTCTTTGAGTGGGGGTGAGGATGAGGGTGGGATGGTGCGATTGTGTATGTGTATGTTTGGGTATTTGTCAGGCTGCGGTGTGGGCTGCCCCTCCTGCTGTTTTATCTGGGGGCCCGCTGTTACTCGGACCCCCGGTGGGGTGTGCGGCTGGCCGCTGGTGTGCTGGGGGTTCCCGGGGTCTGGGGCTGGGCGCTGGGGCGTGTGCCGGCCTGGCCTGGTGACTGCCTGCTGGGGCTCGGGGCCTCTGGGCCTGTCGGGCTTTGGCCTGGAGGGGGTGCGCCCTGGGGGCCCGGACCTCTGTGCCCTTTCCTGGATCTGCTCTGGTATGGTGGGTGCCGGTGGGGCCATGAGTTTGTTGCTGCTGGCCCTTATGGTCTGATCTGGGGGTTGGGTGGGTGGATCTTCCCGTGCGGGTGYCCCTTGGGGCTCTGCGCTCGGGATYCCTCTCRGGCCCTTGGGCTCTGGTCTTCCCTGTGTCTGCCTTGTGTCTTGGGGGTTGGGTCTCGGTCCTCCACAGTCACTATTAAATATTTCATTGGAGAAATCTTGTGTATACACGCATGTTCACAACTGCTCACAAACAGGTGCTCTGATCCGGGGGGTTCTGACTGGTCACTGAGTGTATATATAGTATGTCTGTGTGTGTATATACTGACAATATTTATGAA